CATTTATTTTATTTCGAAATCATTACATATATATTATCAAAAAATACAAAAAAAAAAAAAAATCTTCTGTCACATGACATACACACAATCTCACGTTAACCACATCAAGTATGTTTGTTAAATGATCTATATGTTCACAAATACCTTTACATGTCTGAACTATAATTTATTCACTATTCATGTACAAATTCACTAATCTTCGACATGACATGCAGCCTCCCCTCCTCTATCCAAACCAAACAAATAAATATCTAGAATTTATATATTACTCACTCATATCCACTCCTTATTCTTGATTTCCTCCTTTTATTAATTTATTAATTTTTGTTTTGATCAATTTAATTATTTTTTAAATATTTATTTTAATTTATTATTTTCTCGATTGAACATCTCTTTTATCTCACCAATTTCCCTGGTCGACTTCCTTATCGTAATTATTTTTAATTAGTAGTCTTATTTTATTTAATCATAATTCTCAAACTTTGTCCTTTTCATGCACAATTATTAAAAGAACAGAATAGGCAAGCAACCATCATAGATCAAGTGTCCTGAACTCCCCCTGGTAGGTTCACTTTGTCCGGACGGTGTTCGGGTCTCTGTTCTTCTCAGCGTACAAATGAAGCATCTGTTCTAGACTCAAACACACACAAAATCAATAATATACATGCATAGACTTCAAAAATCCCAATCCAGGTTCAGAATGAAGAATACTTACCAAATACCTTCGCGGACTGGCTTTCCCGAAGCGCCCCTGCAATACCAGATTCAGTACGGTTCAATATGGGTGCACTGCACGGTTAATAATCGTAAATCAGAAACTAAAAAGGTCTGAATCGCGTTTGCCTTACGGATTTCGACCCTCACCGTGAAAACTTGGATTTCGGTACCCAAATGGACCACCTTTCGGTGAACTGGGTCGACGGAAGCGTTCTGCCTCACGGATTCTGCGCGCACACACACGCGTCCGCACCTATGTTTACCAAAAATCCATGACGAAAAAGGAAAAGAGAGATCACCTGGTTCGGGTTCGACGCCGTGAAGATCCGAACAGCTTCGGGTTTCGGTTTCTTGCCTCCAGAAAAGATTTTCCGGTCTTCCCGAGAAGAACTCCTCACTCGTCGCGACGGGTTGGTCGATTCCGCTTCAAATCAGCATACTCGTTCGAGTGAGACGCGAAAGGGAACCCGACGAAGCGGAACGGGACGAAAACTTACCTGTTCTTCGAACGCCGGCGTCGCGTGCGTCTCTCGGTCGCGATTCTTCTTCCCTCTTCTCACTCCGGCCTTCGGCTTTCGTGACACCTTCCTTCTTCTTCGGCCGCGTTTCCTTCTCCTTTTCTGGTTTTCCTTGCGCGCCTCCCTCCCTCGCTGTGCTCTCTTCTTTCTCTCGGTCTGGCTATCACTTCCGACACACCCGCTTCTCCTTCTCTCTCTAGCTCGCCGATCTCCTCTCTCCCTCTTTCATTTTCGGCTTCTCTGGTTCGAATGAAAGAGAAACCCTAAATGGATTTCTTTAAATAGGTTGTTTCCCAGCCGTTTGATCTTTCCAGATTGAATCTGGGCCGCTCGATTGTCTTTGATTAAGAGCCGTTGGATCGGCCCCGACGGTGCGTTCTTGACCGTCTATATCTTGATTTATTATTTGCCCCTCCTATTCTTTATTATTTATGATTTTGGCCCCATTTTTACACGTCTTCATTTAAGTCCTTCAAATTTTATAAAAATTCCTAATTTCTGGAAATTCTCTCATTTAAACCCTTAAGCCCTAATTTAATTTAATTTATTTTATTTTATCTCAAAATTTTAACTATTTTATTTTTATTTACTTATTCACAAGATTTACACATAATTTACATCACATTAAGGACCCGATATTACATTTCTTTTCACTAAAAAATTTACTTTTATATTCTAAATGGATTCAATTATGCTCGACCAACCAAAGTTTTTCGTTATATAAAAAAAATCTGAAGAATATACAATTAGTAATACATCCAATGTTTGAATTAAATTATAGCTGCTGAGTATCTCTAATAATCCTTAAAAAGACAATTACTTCAAAACACAACGCTCATTTGAATATCCATTGTTATTGTTTCGCATCTCTATAAAATATGCATATAATAATCTCCTGATGTCAACTAATAATCAATAAATAAATCTCTTTGTTTTCTTCTTGTTTAATATGACATCACTTCAATTATTACTGAGTCCACGACCATACCGTAAGATTTAATAAATAAATTGACACATGGCCACTGCATTATTCCTATGTACATCACAGACACATTAGATATATACATATATATAGTTATATCCATTGTAAAAATTAGCTCTGATAAGAGGAAAAGGGAATCATCATAAACTTGAAGGTAATGTACCATGCAGAGATGGTAGCAATTGAAAAATATGCATGCATGTGAAAGTAAAAATCTACTGCAACTCCCCATAACCACAAATTATATATGCAGAATCCTAGAATATATGGGTAAGAAATCTTTGGCTCTTCCAAGGAAAGTGGATTGATCCATGCATCATGATGGAAGAACTACATACTACTTTCCAACTCTGTCCAGGCAACTGGTGAATCAGGAAGGGTTACCTTGAGGGACAACGGAAGTCTTAAATGGATACCACTGGCACCTGAGGTTATATAAGTTAAACCATAATGTCTCGGTAGGAAGAGGTGAGTAGATGGGATTTGGAATTGTTTGTAGAAATTAGAATGGTTTACACGAATGAGAATGATACTCAAGTAAAAGCAGGTTAATGAAGCTGAAATTCTCTTCTTCCTTTATGGGTTAGAGGTCTCGATCAAGATGCATGTAAAACGCATTGTTATTGATGGCGATTCACAACAAGTTTCAAGAAATATCTCCACATCAACTCATTGCTTGTGGATGATGTATTTACTTTTAAGCAATGTTTTATTCATTTTCATCTTTATGGGTTTGAAGAATTTGTAATGCGTGCAACTGCCTTAGAAAAACAGCAAGCCTATTACTTAATGCATCGGTAATTGTTGAGGAAGTTCATGTTTTCTTGGCTCTAGTGCTTCAACGAGACTAGTTTTTTGTATGATTAATCGATAATTGATCATGTTTTTTCAGAAAAAAAAAAAAAAAAGAATCCTAAGATGACATAACCATAGCATATCAAGAAGACGAAGAAGAAGAAGAAGGAACAGTCGTCTTTATATTCTGTACAAAGTACAAGTCTCATGTCTAACCATATATAGCAAACTATTACGTCTAAAGCTCAGCGCCATAAAGGTGGAAACAAAGAATATATAATCAGCTGATTTGCATCCAACCACACGTATATATATGACATATATATGTATGTTACATAGAGATATATATATATATATATATACATACACGTTCATGTTAGTAGAACCAACAACTGACAAACAAGCTGCCTCATTCATGCACTAACCGACTCCTTTAATTCTGGGTCAATATCATGTATGGACATATGCTATTGCCATTACTATCCCGTGGCTCCTGCAATAAAATAAAAAACAGAGTAACACATTAGAGCGCGGAAGCATTTTTCTATTCAGAATCTTAAGAAAAAGTGAAAAATATAAATTAAAAATTAAAAGAAAACTCATTGTTCCCATCATATTGTAAAAAGGGTAGGCAGTTTAACTGTTGTTGTGTGAGTATAAGATAATTGGCAAAGAAGAACAAAAAACAGAAACAGAACATATATGCGGTTAATCAGTTTGAACTTTTCTGCAGAGAGATGAAAATTTAAATTAATTACAAAGAATATATCGAAAATTACAAGTGTTTTCCTGGTCATGCTTAAATTCTATCCGCAATACTTTCCAATCTTACATAATATGAACTAGTTTCTGAATAGAAAAAAAACACAAGCAAGTGCATACACACAGACATGTACCCACATATACATAATAACGTGCTTGTATCTAGGTCAAGGAAGAAACAAGAAAAGATTAGGCTATACTCTGTTGATAATTAGATGAAATCAAGACATATTCTTAAAACTATCATCGCAAACTTGTAGGTGGAGGATAGTTGCCAGAGGAAGAAGAAACAATCAAGAACTTCGTTTCAGCATTTTCAAACCTTTGAGTCACTAAAAAAAGTAGAAAATAATACAAAGTTTATAGATCAAAAGTTGAGAGCATTGTTGTAATTTTTCTATTTCAGCACAAGGTAGCAATCATTTTGATATATGTACTGACTAAAAAAAGAGACCTTTTTGATCTTCAACTTCATAAAAACTTAATCCAATAAAACAAATTGGAAGACAATTATAATATGAGTGTTTATTCTCATCAATTCCATGCTTGATCTATGTCTAAAGATTTGAAAAAAAATACCAAAAGTAGACTATCATAATATACGGATGAATATGAGGTTGTTATTGGGTTAAAGCTTGGGAACTATTAGGTATAAAAAGGGCATAATTTGTTCATTCTGCTCAATAATAATTAATGATATGTGGGAGACTATGAGATAGTTGGTGGGTTCAGTTACAAACCCAGGGAACATTAGAAGTCCTTTTGACTACAAGAATATTTGCAATCAAAGGAATACATTTTTTTGACAAAGTTCTGACATGGGTGGATGAGCTCTCACATAACAAGGGAAAAACATCAAGAATTGCAATGGAAAGTAGAAGCTTTTTTTGAATCTTGCTTGACTCTTTCATGAATGAAGATTTACAAGAAAACCCTCAAGAATCAAGTACACTCCGAGAAAATCCCAAGGTTTGCAAGGCGGATGTGGATGCCATCAACATCATGCCAGTGACAATGAAGGTGTCAGGCAGCATGCAACAGATGATGATTGCAAAGAAGGTGCTCAAGCCATGTCTTGGCACCCTGACTTCGACCATGTATCTTCTGGTGTCAGTCCCAACAAGCATTCTCAAGCATGTTTGGAGATGATCAGGTTTTGTGATGATTCTTGGGAGAAGTCTGGGTGCTGTACTTGCATCTAAAGTTATTTAGATACCATTCCTAAGAATTCTTAAGTTTTTATTGCTTTATATAACCAGAAAGATTGAAAAAATTCACAATAAATTTTTATTAAATAACTGACCTCCCACAAAAGTGAATTATATAAAATTTTGAAATACTTCCTAAGTAACTCCCAGAGTAAACTAAGAAATACATTAGTAATAAAAATATAAAAATTAAATATTTAAAAAGAATAAAATTCTAAAATTATAATATAAGACTCCTAAATAATATAATAATTCTACATTTAAAAGAATTGCAATCTCTAAGCAATTTAAAAAATCTAAATCCAGTCCATTTTGCATTTGTCTTTCCTAGTTAAAGAAAATTCTTCCACAAGTTTTAAGGTGGTGAATGGCGTAAAACCTTAATCTTCAAGTTCTAATAAAAATTTACCAAAACTCTACACAGTCATTCTCTTCAATAGTAAGCATGATGAGAATTGGTTAACTGTGTAAAACCTCGTGGTAGGATGAAATCGAGACAAATTTGCAATGTTGAATAAGACCTTAATTTGGAATCAGTTTTCTGTTACCGATCTTTGTAATTACTATTATTTTATATTTTTAAATTATTTGGGTTGTTTAAGTTTAGTTGGGTATTATATATTTTGGTTTCTTTTGAGATAGATTTTAAATGTTATAGGAATAAAACATTTAGATTTCCTCTCTTATAGTTTTCCTTAATTAATGAGGTATTATGATATTTTAGTCTCCATTTAAGTAGATTTTGGATATTATCAGAATTAAAATCTTTTAATCTTTTATAATTTTCCTTATTCGTTGTAAATAATGTCTATGTAAAAGTCTAGTTGTCACCGAAAAAAAAGATGAGAAAATTACAAATTAAGAATTCCTTGTTAGGGTTTTATTTCCTATTATCTCTCTTTCTAGTTGTTCTCTTTGTTAAGATTTTATTATGTATTTAAGAATTATTAAGTCATGTATTAGTGATTGTTTAAATTATCAGTTATGGAGTAGTAGAATTGTGGTGACTTAACCATGGAGTAGTGATCATAGAGTAGTGGTCTCTTAATTTCAGCAAATATAAATTAGTGAGTTAGTGGTTTTCTTAGTGCGTTAGTGATCATTTATCTTTTGTAACATTTGCTTATTTTTGTCATATTTAAGTAAACTAATTTCATCAGTAAAAA